ACATTGCTCCTTCTGATTACTACCTGTTTCGATCAATGGCGCATGGCCTGTCTGAGCAACACTTCACATCATATGAAGATACCAAAAATTGGGTCGATTCGTGGATAGCTTCAAAAGATGAAGCGTTTTTCTGACGCGGTATCCGTATGCTGCCAGAAAGATGGGAAAAAGTAATGGCTAGCGATGGACAATACTTCAAATAAAACATTAGGTACCGTTCTTTCACAATAAATGCCCAATTTTTGATAAAAAACGGCGGAAACTTATTTATGTATACTCCTAATAATATTTATGATAAATATAAATAAATATTTCTATTAAGTATTTTTAACTTGGATTATAATGTCATTTAGTATTTACACATCGTTTATTATCTGGAGACACGGTAATGTTTCAGTATTACAGTAAGACAAGCGAAGCATCACGGTAACATTTACAATAAATATTTCTTAGTATTTATAATAAATATTTATGATCTGTGCAATTTAAGACTACAAAAATATTTATAAAATGTTTAAAATAAGTCTTAAATATTTACAAACATTTTTTAAATATTTTCGAAATACTGTGTACTGTTTGGATATTCTCATTAGTGTCCAATATGATTGTAAATTGTAATTTGTATTCGATCATATCATTTCAAAATTATTAGTTTATTGACAATATTCGGGCATAATTTTTGGACCCTTTTATTGATTTTGATGAACATTATTATGGATAAAACATATTTTCTTGTACATTAAGGTAAATCTTATAATATTGATAATATTAATACAATTAAATAAAAGTAAATATATTCAATAAAACATACAAAACATACATCATTGCACCATTAATGTAAGAATTGGAAATATAGAATTCAAACATCATGTTTATATGATAATAGTACGTTTAGAAAATACAATAATTTGGATTTAAACTGAATTTGTAACAAAATATTTGAAAAAAAATCTACAAAGAGGCATTTCAAGAGATTATTAGACCAGAGTGTGACAAACTAGAGTTAAAAATCTGTCTACTTAAACTTTGCCACGTATTAAAGGAAGGTTAGATTAAGTTTGATTATAAAAATAGAAGGCTAACTAAAGAATTTTAATAAAAATAATGCTACATAACTTCATAGATCGCATTAATTTTATAAAGGAATTTAAAAGTTATTATGCCTTTTACATAGCAAAAACAGTAATTTTTCCAAAAAAAAATTTTCGGAAAAAAACCGAAACTTTTCCGGTTTTTTTTCAGCAATTTAAAGAAAGAGGCTTTCTTAAAACTATATACTAAATGTATATATATAAAGAAAACGGCGACACTCATTTATTCGAGTCGTCATTTTATTTAATTGGAATCTGCCGCGTTACTGACAGTTATCGATCGAGATTATCGAATCGCGGACGACAATACGATGACTAGAGAAGGAGAATGATAATCTAACTGAGACCGTGGATGTGAATTTTCGAAGTGAATAATTGAGAACCTTAGCATCACCTGAAGTAAAAACTTTTAATGTTGTTTTCTGTTTTATTGCAGGTAATGTTACTTTTGGTATTTTGTGCAAATATTGTAAACAGGATAGAATAAATTGAAACTGTTTTATTGCAGAAACCCAACGGGTTTTTATTTTAACCAAGAGAATATTATTAGTGTAGTTCTGTTATAGAACTATAACCATCCATTACATATATATAAAATATAAACGTATATATACATTATTTCTTGAAAATTTTATTTTCAGTTTCTATAGGAAGAGGTGGCGGGGGATGTGCTCGATACCGATGGTATGTCCAACGACTAGGCCTCATGAGATATCCTTACTGGCCCCATCCTGAGGCAAACCGGAATATAAGGGGCCGGCAAGGAATCATGAGGAACTGTGCTGTGGGAGAGAGAGGCCATAGAGGAAGAAGAGGAGAAAGCCTTCGTTCCCGGTACGGTACAATAAACTTTTAAGGATATATTGTATCAATTTTAAAATTGTTGAAAAAACCATGGAAAATTAAAGATTGCATTGTTTTACATTACATTTGAAATTAGTAGGAAAAAATTTAGCGATGATTTTCTACGTGGCTAAAAAATTAATTCAATAAAAAGTAGATATGTGCTCTAATGAAAATATTAAGAAATAGTAAAAAAAATATGAATTTTTAAATATTTTAAATATATATTGAAGATGGTTAATAATATAACATACAATTTCATTGCGATGCAGAGATTAGGTGCTCTTTAAACAAAATTGCTTTATTTATTTATTTATTTATATAAATAACTGAAGACTATTGCAATAAAGATGATTACAATGAAACTTGATATAAATCATTTGAAACATTTCAGTACTTATACAAAAAATTGAGATTTCTCTTAACATTGTAAAAAAAAAAC